CTAGAACCTGGGCCTCCAGTACTTCTTCCCTGAAAGGCAATGGAGGGGTGGGTTGAAAGAACACTGGCCAAAGGGTCTAGAACTCCCACTAATTTGCTTGGGAAATTCCTGGGAAATATCAATATTGCTAGATCGCAGCTTCCACAGCTGTCAAATGGGTGAAATCCCTGCCCTTCCCATGTCCTACACTTGTGGTTAGGATTGCCTTGAACAGTCCTTGGCTGACAAATAAGTGCCAAAAGATACTTAATGCAATTAACAAATGCTTACTGAGCGCTCACTCAGGCAGTATAGTAGACAGTGGGGATAACCAGTGAAGAAGGAGAGGGGCGGGGAAAGAGATGGTAGGGTAGAGTCAGGTAAAGGAATGGGAATCAGGTCAGAAGTCTGATGAGGGGATGTTCAAGGTGAGAACTGAAGGTTTAGAAGGAGCTAGCCACACACAGGTCTGGGAGAAGAGCATTCCAGGTCTTTGGAGTTCTGTATTACCTTGCATTTTGCAACTCCCCTTTCCCAGATGAGCAAACTGAGACTATTAGTCTATGCAAATGGCATTGACCCAATCCCCGTTTTCCACTGAAGGGACTAAACAGGAACTCTATCAACATTTTCTCGCTTGATCTTAACAACTGTAATTTTTGATGGTAACGGTCCCATTTTATAGGTGAGGAAATGAAAGAAAACCATCAAATCTCATAGAGGTACTTGGCTCTGTTTATTTAGACGACTCTGCCTTGTTCCAGATGCACTTGCACTCAAATGGGAGCCTCATCTGTCTGGTTCCAAAGTCCAAGCTCTTTCCCCAACATCAGACTGACGCAGAGTGTCAGAGCCGGCAATGTAACCACCAGCCAGGCAGAGACAGCCGGAGCAGAGGCCAAGTCCAAAACATGGGGAGGCTGTTATTTCTGGACCACCTCCCCCAACCCCCCCAGCAGATCCAGCACTACATGAGGCATCCTGGTGGATAGAAATATATATTCCACATATTTTATTTATTCAGCCCCTACTACCTGCGAGGTCCTACTTTAGGCTCTAGAGAGAAAGCTGTGAACACGCTAGACAAAAACTTCTGCCTCCACTGGGTTTGCACTCAAGTGGAGAGGAGAGTGAACCACACGAATGATTATCATACTAGACAGAAAAAAATGCTTTGGAAAAGGAGAAGGACTTGGTAAGCTTAGGGCAAAGAAGGAAGATGTATACTCAGGGCGGAGATGGGGAGCCAGAGAAATCTTTCTGGATGAGGGGACTTTTGAGTCTAGGTTCAATGATGCCCATCCGTCAAATGGAGCTGATAATAGGTTCTACTATACAGGGCTGTTGGGAGGATCAAATAAGGTGATGGCCGTGAAGTGTTTAGTGGAGTGCCTGGCACATAGGAAGTCCTAAATAAGTCTTACTGACTTCCCTATTCCTCATTCTAATAAATATTATCTATGGTCTTAGTTCAGCTGCTATAACAAAAATACCTAGACTGAGGTTTTTTTTTTTTTTTAAGATTTTATTTTTATTTTATTCATGAGAGACAGAGAGAGAGAGAGGCAGAGGGAGAAGCAGACTCCCACGGAGCAGGGAGCCTGACGCGGGACTCGATCCCAGGACCCTGGGATCATGTCCTGAGCCGAAGGCAGACACCTAACCATCTGAGCCACCCAGGCGCCCTAGACTGAGTGGTTTAAACAGCAGAAATTTCTTTCTCATGTTTCCGGAGTCTGGGAAGTCCAAGATCAAAGTACCAGCCAATTTGGTTCCTGATGAGAACCCTTGTCCAGGTTATGTCCTCACAGGCCCGGGTGGGGAGCAAGCTCTCTCCTGTCTCTTCTTATTAGGGTGCTAATCCCATCACGGGGCCCCACGCTCATGAACTAATTACCTCCCAAGTCCCCATCTCCAAATACCATCACGCTTGAGACTAGGGTTTCAACATATGAATTGGAGGGGGCCACGAACATTCAGCCCATAGCATCCTATTTTGTACTGCACGACAAAATCTCCTCTGAAGACTTCCCCCGGCCTGTAGGATAGAGCCCCAAATTCTAACAAGCCCGAGAGGGCCACGACAGATCTGCCCTAGGCTTCCTTCCTAGCCTCACCCTTCCTCACGTCCTCCCTGCTCCCTCGGTCCTGACCAGGCTGCCTTCCTCCTGCTCTTCCACATCTCCCCCAGGCTGCTTCCTCTGTCAGAAATCTGGGTGCCACGCTCCTCTCTCCCCTCCTCTCGTTGGCCAGCCCTTCCTTACCCGCCATGTCCAGGGTGTTTCCCTGGGCACTGCCACGAGTGTGGGCGTCCCATGGCTGAACTTTTTTTCCCCTCCGGACTCATCACAAGTGCTTGTGTGATACTTGTCTTTTCCACTGGACTTAAAGACCCACGAGGGCCAGGACTGCATCTGTCTCATTCGTGGGCACAGCCAGCATCTGGTAGTGTCTGGAACAAACTCAGCACTCGATAACATTGGCATGGCTCCTCCTTGGAATGTGAGCTCAGGTACGCAGAACTGGGACAGAAGCGCAGGGTCCCCTCCACCCCCCAACCCCGGAACCAGCAGTGAGGTCAGAGGTGACTCAGACATGAGGGGTAAGGATCTCTGCTTCTCTCCCCAGCTGAGCGTGGCTTCTCTCAGGAGCAGGGCCATCACGCACAGGCCGATGTGGAGAAGATGGGGTGCTCAGATAGGGTACCTACCTTTCTCCCCACAGACGGGAAGTGACTGGCCCAGGGTCTCCAGCCGTGGGAGCAGGGATGGGAGTGAACATCTATTCTGGCTCTTTCACGCTCTGCAGGTGTTGCCTCCAACCTCAGGAAGAGAAGGTCAAGACAGGAAGTTGTGGGATGACACAGGGTGGTGACAAACCATGACAAGGATCTGAAGGCTCGGGTTTGTGAGACCTCAAGCAAGTCGTCTGCCCTCTCTGCTCTGTAGGCAGAGCCTGCAAGCTGACTCACAGGAGGAAATTTGCATGCAGGTGGTTTATCAGGGATCAAAAGCAGAGGGCAGGGGTGCCTGGGTGGCTCAGTCTGCCTTCGGCTCAGGCCATGATCCCAGGGTCCTGGGATTGAGCCCCGCATCGGGCTCCCTGCTCCGCGGGAGGACTGCTTCTCCCTCTCCCACTCCCCCTGCTTGTGTTCCCTCTCTCTCTGTGTCAAATAAATAAACAAAACCTTAAAAAAAAAAAAAAAAGCGGGGGGCAGAGCGCAGCCTGTCAGAGCACAGGTGAGGCTGGGGCAGAGTGGAAGCGTTGGCCTCATAAAGGGAGCCCCAGAGCGGGGACAGTCCTTCAGAGTGGTTTCAAACGGAGACAGGTGGCCAGGCCTTTGTACACTCCTCTCCCGTCCACCAGTCACTGAAGGCCGACTGGACTGCCTGGCAAGGCCGGAACCGTCAGCGAGGTAGCTCTGTTCAGTCCAGGGCGGCTCCCATAGAGGGACTCTGCTGAGA